TAGTAAATCCCCCATAATCCTCTTGGAGAGAGTCTTGAAGCTCCGCCTCTTGGGTCTGTGCACGGTTCCTTTTATGCACTATGTGATTAAAACGCCGCACTATAAAACTGAGAAGTTATAGCACTGCAAGCGTCCCTCAAAAACACAGCAGCATCAGAGTGATAACCGTAATCAGGATCTTGTGCTGATGCAAATTTGATTACGTTTTATGAGTTTATACAGAGCTTTAACAGGTTTGTGCTACTCATAGCTATTTTAGATTGTTGGAAGAAACGTTTAATATAATTGTTTGTTTTTTTTGCAGTGTTTTTCTCAGAAGTGAACAGACCTGCAGCTTCTTATACCTCACAACTACTCCATTACTAAGAGTTGTCAATTATATCATGGAATAAATAACATTATACATAGATAATATATATGTTAATAGTTTACACATATTTGTTTTATGACTCAGGTGAAGCTATTGCAGAATTAATTACCTGAAAATGTGTTAAATCCATATTTGTATTTTCAACCGGTTTTGATGACCGTATATAACAAAATAAAGCATTGTCTTGGTCACATATATTAAAAATCCTACATTTGCTGTTCTTTAGTGATCTAAACAAGTAATTGATTATTCTTAGAGATTTTCCCCGGATGAATTGATTTTCAAATAAATCGTTAAAATTTCAAATAGAAATTGTGTTTTTTTAGGTCTCTTCTGGTTCCCATCCTGTCGACAGGACTTCGAGTTGAAAAAACAACAAACACAAAAGCATCTGTCAAAACTGAGAAATCTCCACAATCCCACCTCTTCACTTCAATCCTCCCACTCCTCCACACTGTGCCTCTGCTCTCCACTGTGTGCCCTCACCTGCTGCATTGAACAGTGCCTCGAGCAGCAACCCACCTCTTCCCCCTCACCATCATCAGTGGGATGGTGATGACAAGGTTTAGACCTCTATTCTATTTCATTCCCTCCAGCATACGCCAAAACGCCAAAGCATATTCCACATTTCCATTTCCAACATTCTTTTTGCCATACTGTACGTCTGCACGGTCTAACTGTCCGATCATGCAATAAACAATATACTTCATGCAAACAATAAACTTCATTCTGATACCTCTTTCGGTCGGAGTCTTTCCAGATGGAATGGCACTTGGGTAAATAGCATGACATAGGCCCATCTGCAGTGTGTTCATGATTATTCTGTATATTTGTTTTTTAGAAATGACTATACTCTACTATACTGTATTATTTTGACTGTATGTTTTTAATTGTGATGCGCTTTGTGATCCTGGTCTGTGAAAAGTGTTGTATAATTACATTCTACTTACTTACTTGCTTAAAACATATCTTCCTGATACACATTCTGCACGGCGAATCATTGGGATGGTCTGAAATCAGCTAAATTGGTCCATTTATCCAAAATATTTGCTTATGGTCCTTGTTACTTGTTACTTGCAGAGAAGGCCACATGGTCAGAATATATACCTTTATATGTTGATAATTGAGCACCAAATAGATCGTCATGATAATCATTTGTTGAACTATTACTCAGTATAAACCATAACATATGCCCTGAACGACTGGGCCCTTACTGTCAATACATTTCCCCCGATTGTGGGCACTTTAGCTCCCAGATGGGTCACAGTCTGAATCTAAAGTGTGCTTGTTTAGTATCTGTTCTGCAGGTGGCAAAATACATGCTCAAACACATTCCCCTTCAAAAACCAAAAATCAAGACGAGCTGTGTGCCCCCTCTGTCCCGACACGATGGGGTGAATTCCCAGGCAGATTGCAGCCCATAAACAAAAACATATGGCCTGTGTAAGGAATCATAAAGATGTAGTTTCCGTTGCCCTGAAGTATCACAGGAAGTAAAGTAACGGTGCATTTGTAAAAAAAAGGACATATCTCTAAATTATGAGGCGGAGAAGTGTGTTGCGTTCCGCCTCGCTGTGTTTCAATGGGTCGTGTGATATATTGATGTTTTACAAGTACCTTTGACATCTCTGCTCAAACCATTAGAGCTGCAGATCTGCAGAACAAGTGGTCCCTTTGCACCGAGCGATTTGAGCAGGAGAAAGTGATACTGGCCATGTTGACTTTTGCTGCAAATCCGTTCACACAGAAAATAGTTTCTACTGTATTCACAATAGTTTTGTTCTCTGCCACATTATTAATAGCCACATATATAAACATTCAAGTTTGAGTTTGTGCCGGACTACAGACCAGCTGTTTGAGTCAGAAGAAAGTCAGTCAGAACGCACACGCTGGGTCAAGAGGGTGAAAACGTCTGATCTAAGCTTTACATTTTGTTTTTATTTCCGTTTATAGGGTTGGAGTCTCATCTTTTTGTTTCATCAATAACAGATTTTGTTTGTCCCTAGAAAGTGTTTTTAACCCTTTAATGTTAATTCCTTGAAGAAAGCAATCTACATTTTTAATTTTTGAGATTTTGAGATGTAAGAGCACTGTTACACAAATTGTTAGTTTTTTTGTTATTTTTAACTACTAGGTTTTTTTATTTATTTTTTTATCATTTTTATATATTTTGTTAAATATTTCATTATTGAATTTTACCAAATGGTTGAGATGCAGTTTGATGGTAAAAGTGCCTGAACCCAAGTGAGATGAAGAGGTATATCTCAGTTCCAAGTAGATATTGTGACTCAAAAGGTGATCTACCAAATGACTGAGTTAAAATTTAAATTTTGTCAACAAAGTTGACAAAATGTTTCTAAAGTCCATTTTACTTCTGTGATACAACTTCACATTTGAAACTGATTACTCATTACACACACAGTGAGATATATCAAGCCTGTTTTAATGTTGATAATTGGCTCACTGCTGGAAAAACCCAAAATTTAACATCAGGAAAATGTTGAAAATGGACTATAATCCAAAATGCATGTAAAAAGTCTATATATTAATTCTGTTTTAGATATAGATACTGTATATATCGTTTTTTGAGTTTCATCCTGTAAGTCATTGAATTAAAAAAAAAATCTTTGAGTGAGATCAATAGTTAGCTACGTTTATTCTTCACCCATGGTTCATTATGTGGCGCAGGCTTTGATTACATATAATTGTTGCAACAAAAGTACTGTTTATCTGATCATTACAGCAAATGACCAACACCTCCTGATTGTTCCAAGCCTTGTTTTTCAGTGACTTAACTTGTTATTACCCATTAAAGTTGGTATTGCAAGTTCTTTCCGCTGCACACTTCCAAAGTTAAATCCGTATTTGCTTGACAATTACACTAAAGTCCAGTTAATGTGTTGGCGGCGGCTGGTGTTAGCTTTAGCTCTTGTTAGCTCCGTTTGAAGTGAGCGGCCATGACAAGTCAGGACTGGCCTCATCTTAGTTGTGAAAAGCATCTCGTCACTGGCTCATTTCACACTTGGGCCCAATTAAGAAGTGCTTGAGCCAATACCGAGAGCGGGTTAGCCATGTCTCCGTCGTTCCCCTTTTGCCCCCCTGGATAGCAGCATGTGGCGGACAGAAGTGCGGCACAATAACGCCTCTTGCAGCGAGAAATAATGGGCACATCTTTGCACGTGGCCCTTTGCACCTGTGAGCTGTGGTCTCGCACTGGAGTGAGACCTCGGCACCAAACAACATCCAAACGCTTTGTTCCAGCCCCATCACCTGTAAGTGCTGCTAACCTGCTTCTGCGATGTGTGCGGAGGAGGTGGAGAGGAGGGGGGTCCACCACTGTTCAAGGCAAATGTGGTGGTCCTGAGAGAAGGTACTGACTGGATTAAGTGAATATAACTGCAGCTTCACACACTCAAACAAACATATGTTCACTGTCCTGAATCTGCATCACCAGATGACAGGTGGAGAACCTTTGTTTTGTTTGTTTCGACAGAAGGTTGTGTGAAAAAATCAGAAATCACAAAATACTGTCCTTATCTTATTGGATAATGTCTTTCACATACTCAGAGCTGATTGGCTGAGTGAAGGTTGGTAAAAGGTGAAGATATGTCAGGGGCCATACATGTAGTCAGATACTCCAGCTTTAAGTGTAGCAAAGCTAAAGAACATATTTTATTATTGTCAAGTTGGAGAGTCAATAGCGACTTCTCTATTATCAAATTGGGAAAATCTTACAATTTGAGAACAGAGAAAATTAAATACCTACACTACTGTTTGTTTTTTTGGCGACACGGTGGGTGAGTGGGTACAACACCTCACAGCAAGAAGGTCCTCAATCCTGTGTCAGCCCTGGCTTTACTATATGGAGTTTGCATGTTTCTCTCCATGTTCTGTATGTGGGTTTCCTCTGGGTGCTCCAGCTCCCACACCACCCAAAGTGACCAAGAGCATAAACATCTGGAGATGGGTGGACATTCCCTGTTTGTCCCACAGTGGGGAAATTTCAGTGTTGCATCCATCACAAGTTATAGAACAGTAGGAAAGAGGAGCACAGGGACAATATGGGGACTGTCAGGGATGAAGCAGACAGAGACGGATCGTGGTGCGCCAAACTCTGGAAGTTTATTTAAGTTTCTCTCAAGTTCCAGTGGTTTCAATTGTTTCTTTCTCTCAGACAGAATAAAGGCAGTACACAGTTTATATAGTCATTGTCACGTCACACATGGAAAGACGTACGTGTCACACAGAGACAGTCACATCATAGTCATAATAATCAGAGTCCTTGTACAGTCCTGCACGTAGGCCATATTGCTATCTAATACTAACAGGACAATAAAGATCCTTATAAAGTAACTCTATCTTTGAAAATAAAAAAAGTGTTTTTCACAGAATCTCTCCTCAGTAAATGCCTGTGACTGACATAACAAGCTGACCTGGTCCGGTCTTCACCTGCAGCAGTGAGCGGTCCCTGGACTCCTCTGTGTTCATGTTGTCAGCACTAGCTCCATGTCTGTGCGACTGAGAACTGCTCCCAGCTCCTGAGAATGTGTGACTGGCGTTTTCCACCACATGGAGGGCAGAGCAATTGTGTGCACTCTGCAGGGATTAGTGCTTCTACCATTAAGTGGCAATGGGCTCCAGCGGGGGGGCGGCCTGCTCATTAGGCTCTTATCACAGCTCTGCACCGGACCATCAGCACTTCTGCAGCCGTCTGGACCCCTCCTGTCCTCCCAGCAGCTTCAGTGCAGTGTTCTATCTGAAACAACATGCTCAAATTGTAATTGGAAATGACCTTTTTGTTGTTTTAAAAGAACACAGAATCAAGCGACTTATTTCAAGAGTCCGTCATTAAATTGATAGATAGATGGAGAGATACTTTATTGACTTTAATGGAGAAATTAAGGTGTCCAGCAGCAGAAGCACATCCATCCATACAAACAGATAGTAAATACATAGTTGTAAAAGTCAGTAACAATAGTAAGGCAACAGCCCTTTAGGACGCAGCAGCAGAGTTTGTGGAGCCGCTGGGTGGAGCAGGACAGGTTTAAAGCTGGGGTACCCAACTTTCAAACCTCAAATAGACAAAAAATATATGTAAATGTATGTAAGTGGTTCCTGCATTTTAAATTTTTATATTTTAGAAATGTTTGTGGATTTGTATTTTGTCTTATTTTATTCTCTCTATTGTTTGCACCGAGAGCCAAAGAAATGTGGTCTGATATATTCACAAAAATGTACTTTTACAAGACTTTTCCTTTTGGGACAAACTAAACAACATGTCAACATATCATGAACTATTTTGTGTTGTGCTTTATTTAACTGTACATACTCTTTGTTCTGGTTTAGCACAAAAACTCCAGCGCTGTAGTAACATGTCATCAATCATAAGCACAGTTTTGTCAAGCACAAAGTCAAATCAAGAAAAAAGTCATAAATGCCACACATACTCTCAACAGATCATCAAATCATACACAGGAAGTCCCCGTACACACCAGTGGTATGCGCTCTCTGCAGAAGTCTGTGATCTCTGGGCTTTGAACAGAGAGGTGTGTTCAGACTCCAGTACCCACAATGCTTTGCCTGAGGCTGCAGCCCGGGGCTCAGATGAAGAGGCTGATGCATTAATGACTAACTGTGAGTAAGTGGCTTTTACACAAAACGGCTTCTTTTGTGAACTTTATGACTTCCCAAAGGCACATGTCACTGACCCAGCATTTACCGTCAGCATCCGGGAGATTTAGGGGAAATTGACGGGTTTTTACACTTGAGGCATTGGGGTCTTCACTAAATTAGGTTAAATTAGATCCTTTCAACTGCCTTGAAATGATATGACTCAATCAACTTTCTCAAAAAAATCAGTTGAGAGGCAGAAATGTCAATGTAAATGCAATCTATCTATCTATTTCTCTATGTAAAATGTGTCTTGGTTTTACATAGTGACTATAGGCAAGGCAAGGCACATTTATTTATATACCACATTTCATACAAAAGGCAACTCAAACATATCAATAATACAGGCATTAAAATCATAGATATAGAAGATGCAATCCTTCAGTGTTATGCACAGATAAAACTGTTTTTAACCTGGATTTGAATATTGAAACAGTGAAGCAGCCTGTCTCACATTTTCAGGAAGATAATAAGTACGTAATCTTTATTTATTTTGCATCATTCATAGACAAAATCACTTCACACTTAACAATTGTCGTGGCAATTTCTTCTCTCACCTCTCGCACATGCAAGACCTATATTGTACATGGGTTTAGTGGCAGGGGAAACCTACACAGACACGGGGAGAACATGCAAACTCCACACAGAAAGGAGGTGGAATCAAACCCGGGCCCAAAACGCTGTCAATGTGCTCATTTGTGTACTCCAAACAAATACAATAAAATAGATAAATAATGTTTTCTCTCCATTTATCGCCTCGAAGTTGTCTCAGTGGCAAGTCAAGGCAAGTTTAATTGTATAGCACAGTTTATACAAAGAATAAGAAAGAATAAGAAGAACAAGAGACAATGCAGAACCTTAAAAAAGAGTAAAAATTGAATTCTTTAATACTTTATTCAGTGCAATAAAAATAATGTATTCATTTTTATTTGAAGATTACAAAGTTGCAGATTGGGGCCTCAAAGCTGGGAGAGTTTTGGTTGTTTATCCCAACAGTAAGCTTTAGTTTTATGTAACATTTTGTCAACAAATCTGTCTGTATCCAGTGTGGGCGGGTCCAGGCTCAAAAGTGGCCAAAATGACGTGCGCTGACATGCTGCAATATCACCCCGGGCCGATGGGGGTGGACCTGGAATAAGAATTAGCCAATGCTAACATATAGCGTTAGCAGACCTCTCGAAAACGTCTTTACAGGATGGTCCAAAAGCTGGCTCTTGGCCCAAAGCTCCGTTCCACATGTGTCAATGCTGAGGGGGGTGAATTTTTTTGTTTTTATAAATGTTTCTCTTCCTATTAGCATTATCAAGTTGCAAACAATAATGTAAAAGAATACACAAATGTATAAGAAGATTTTTTTTTTTTCATCCCACAGTGGGGAAATTTCAGTTTGAATGAATCAAGGCATGCAGCAAACATTACTTCTGAACTCCCTATAGGCAAAGTGGGTAAAGTGTCTTGCCCAAGGACCACCCACACCCACAACCTTCAGACTCAGAGGCCAATGCTCTACCAAGTGAGCATTGGCAGTAAATGATTCAACAAGACTGTATCTTTGGAATGTAGGAAAGTCCTCAGCATTATGATAAAACTAGAATCCTGTGATCAAACAGTGACCGTCTCGTAAAACTCACTGAGGTTGATATTCCCAGTATGTAATGGTTTTGAGCTCTTTCCCAGCCCACACTCTGCTCCTGTTCCCCGCTCGGGCCGGCCCCGCTCCAGCCCCGAGGCTCCAGTCTGGGTGAGGTCCCTGAAACGCAATCATACACTTGGATTTGTCAAAATTAGAGTTTCACCTCAAAGTAAGCATTTACAGGTGCTAAATATCCCCATGGATTTCACCAATGTTAGGGCTACATCCACAACAGGAACACACACGCAGCTGGACACACACACACACGCACTTCTGAGGACATTTGCACACACATAATGAAAAAGAATTGTTATGTTGTCAGTAAAGTCGTTTGCTGAACTGTTTTAGTGGTGGTATTAACGATGGAAAAAGCTACTGTTAAAGGGACCATAATGCAGTAATCTATATTTACAGAATATAGCACATTTTAACAGACCAAGGTCACCCAAAGCGAATAACATCAGTATATAACGTTTACAGTTAGTGATATAATAAAGCTTTTTCAGTTCAAATCAAACTTTTTTTTGCCAGAATCCTACAGCCTGTGACTACCCCAGGGCCTTCATCCCCACCGCTGTCAGACTGTACAATGAGTCACTTAATGACCTGCACTATAGGACTGTAAACTTGCACTGCTGTAGTCACCTTTTACGTTTACTGTACATAAAATACCTTTACTGCACGATATATACTATATTTTCCCCTTTTTTGACACTTTTCTGTCTTTTGGCAAACCACTCTGAGTATAATAACAATATATAAAATAAAGATTGAGATTAAGAGATTCTTTAATCGTCCCACAGTGGGCACATTTTAGTGTTGCATCACCTACAAGATAAATAAAAAAATAACTAAAATAAAATAAAATGTAGCATAAAACAGAAGTAATTATAAAATACTCTTTAGCATGATAAAGAAGTTAGTATGTATATTCTAGTGCAAGTAATGTATGGTTCTATGTATATATCTGCACATTTCTAGACCCATAATATTATTCTTCGCAGTTGTAAGTATTCCCACAGATAACTTTTACGTACATTTTTGTGCTCACACTTCCGCTGTAGTCACGTCACTTTTCAGCCATTTCACCGCCACCTCGCCTCAACGCAAATGTCTAGTCATTTCTTGCACCTTTGCCTTCATAATCTCCATCATCTTTAAACAAAACACAATTTCTCCACTCAAATCGAACAGCGGTCACGGCCATCAGCGCCTCCATTCGGGGACAAACAAGTGGGACCCGCGTAACCTGCGTCGCTCTGTGATAGCGGCGGCGTGCATTATGACTGTAATTTCAAGCCAATTAAGATCATCTCGCCCTGTTTATTTTTTCAATTTGCGTGCCTTTTGAGTGATATCTTCCCCCAATACATCACCTCTGGAAATTGTAAAATGAATTATATCAAATTTGAATTGGCCCTGATTGCATCTTGGGCCCCACCTATTTTCCTGAGGTTTGTCACGCTCCTTGTAATAACAACAGCGCGATGGTTGAAGTAATTGCTCATTCGTGAAGCTAGTTAGTCATTGTATTGGATTGTAAATAGCAATGGCTGGAAGTCAATTGTTTTTAGTTGTTTTTAACCTGCGTCGCGGCCGTAATGTAGATATGTATCTGGAGCCACGTATCTGATTCGAGCATCAAACAAAGAGGTTCCTGACGTGGTTCACTTTCATTTAGCCGCCTGCGTTTCTTCAAAGCTTGTGTCTTTATACCAATGTGAGTATGTAAACATTCCTGCTGTTAATCCATTATAGGTGGGATCCTTACCGCCCGCAGGCTAAGAGGAGTCTGGGGTAATCAGTTCGACAGGATGGGAGAATGTTGTGGTTTTGTCGAGTCCCGGATACCATATGTGTGCGACCAAATCAAAAATACAAAAATACTGGATCCATTATATTAGTGTGGGGATTACACACACAAAATATTTGATATAAATATATAATTATGCTCCAATATCTGTTATTTCAGCATCTGAGATGTTTACAGACAGTCTAATGTTGAATGCTAGTAGCACTACCTGTGTGTGTGTGTGTGTGTATGTGTGTGTCTGTGTCTCTCTGTGTGTGTGTGTGTGTGTGTGTGTGTGTATGTGTGTGTGTGTGTGTCTGTGTCTTTCTGTGTGTGTGTGTGTGGGTGTGTGTGTGTGTGTCTGTGTCTCTCTCTGTGTGTGTGTGTGTGTGTGTGCGTCTGTGTCTCTCTCTGTGTGTGTGTGTGTGTGTATGTGGGTGTGTGTGTCTGTGTCTCTCTGTGTGTGTGTGTGTGTCTGTGTCTCTCTCTCTGTGTGTGTGTGTGTGTCTGTGTCTCTCTCTCTGTGTGTGTGTGTGTGTGTGTATGTATGTATATCTAGCATATTTTATAGTTTCCAAAGTGCTGCAGAGTGATAAAAGTAACACACAGGTTTTATCAGCTTTATATGTTAAAAGAAGAAAATAAGTAAAACATTATGTACAAAGTAAAAACAATACAAATTTAATAAAAAAAACAATAACATTCCAGTTATCCAATTTTATTTAAGTGTGTACACTAAAACTATTGCAAACGGCTACACATTGTCAAATCTATTCATTTATTACTATTTCTCCGATCCTCCATCAAGCTCATCTAAAAAAAATTAAATAAAACGAAATAAAACTTGGGTCTTTTGAAATGTTCTGTTCAGGTCAAAATAAACGTTTCAACTGTTCACCCTTTGCCACTCCCCTTTCTTCATCTTTTCATTTGCACATTGAGACACTGTGCGAAAACCAAGTGATTTATTATAATTTACGCGTCAAATATCTCTCTTCATGTTGATGTTTTTAAGGCCCCCGGCATTAAGGTGAAATGCTGGAAATATTCAGGAATATTCATTTTGGCGTTCCAAGGAAAAAATGTCTAATGCCATTTTCAATCTATAAGTTTAACATTTTTATCGTACATAATATATCTTGCACAAAAAGACTGTATTTTTTTAACCTTTTTTCCATGTTTGCACTCTTCCTGTCTTTTTGCCCAGCCTGAATGATTCTACCGATGCCAAATGTGACATGTATATTTCTCCATCGTGAGATCAAATAAAGTAGGTAACTTGTTTTCAACAGTTCATTACTTTCAGTCACTGTTTCTGGATAAATCATCATTTCATTAATCATCACATTTTAGATTCTGGCAAAACACATTTATAATATTATTTTCCAATATTGACTGATTTGGACAGCTCTTGCATCACCGCTGCTCATTGTGGCACTTGAAACATGTAGAATAGAAATGAAATGCGTGCCCAATCACTTCAGTGCAAAAATTCTCTCGGATTATTCCCACCAAAAACATGCCGCTTATTAAATCATTTCCTCTCTCCCACTTCACGGCTTTCATGTGTGGTCACTGCTAATCAGTTTACCGTCATTTTCTTTCTCTCAAGCGAAGAGTCTCGAGCACCCATTTGAACTAATCCCCTTACACTTTTTTTTGCGTCTGAAAAAAAACCCAACCCACCTACTTTTTATCTCAAAACTATGGCGCATTTTGGTGGATTTGCCTGTAATAATAATAATAATAATAATAATAATAACTCCAGTTGCCTTTCGTGCGTCTTCCCCCATTCGCAAACACACACACACACACACACAACTCCACTGTATAATTCATAAAGCCTAAGCTCTTTCAATACTCCAAAATGCCAGATAAACTTTTCTCATTTGCGCCTAATTTGGTCACGCAAGATAATGCCAACATCTGAAGGCTGCATAAACTGCTTTATAAAACACGTCCCTAGAAAGGAGCTTGCACCCGCACCTTGCCACCTTGTCAGAAGCCGTAATTATTTCCAATCCGTTCGCGGGGCCTTAATGTTTCTTATTAATCCATCCTCTTTGCATTCACTCCATTAATTTTTCAAAAAGGCCACGCTGCTTTTTAGTTTGGATGTCAGGGCAGTGGCAAAGGAAGCTATTAGACGTTAGCACCTCCCGATTCTGAAAAAAAGAAAGCGACTTGGGGGTGGCGTAGATGGATGGATGGATGGATGGATGGATGGACCCCCCCTTTGCAGGAACTGTGCCGCCCCATTACGCCAACTAGAGCTAAATTAGGGCTGTGAGCTGCCAACAAGAACCCTGGCATGGTCTAAAGACACGACATCGCCAACCCCATGTGAAAAGAAAACATTCCTAATAGTAAGGAAGTGTCACAATGAGAAAGATGGATACAATGCGCTCACAGCTGGGTCCAGGCGAATCCTTTTTTCACCTTAAAACAGGACATTTGTGCACAGGAGTGAATGGGTGAATGTTGAATGTGGGTGAATGGGGCCAGTTAAATGTTAGCAAATTGGTTCTGACGCAATGGTTCAGGATGTACTTAGCCTTCGGGTCATAACTGATCTTCTGTAAAAAAAAAAAAAAAAAATGGTATCCAGATTCAAGACATGGTAATGGGATTATTTTGTTTCTCAGATTTTTTTTTTGACAAACTCCTTGATCCTTTAGGTTGGTTATTCTGTTCTTCTTTCTCCAAAATATACCTGTGCGAGTTGATTTATGTATCGGCAATGTGGTTCCTCAAGGCTCAGTATTTGGTCCTATTTTGTTTATCCCTCTTTAACGTCACCCACAAACATGGAAGTATTGGAAGTTACAATTTACAATAGCCAATCAGGAGGGTGGAGACTGGTCCAATCACGGGGCATTCTGAATGGATAGAAGGCAAATGTGAAGTTATCAATTCCAAATCAGAACAGTAATGAAGATCTGTTTGTTTTTGTTTTGCTTTTGAAAAACAGGCAGAGGTTTGCAGAAGAAAATATGCTCTCATTTTTGCAAAAGTTTAATTTGTTTTTCTAGTCCGCTTTTTGTCATCTGAATGCTCATCTTTTTAGTGCAATGCTAAAAATGGCTAATAATGGTTGTATAATGGCTCAAATCTGCCTCTATCCACGTTTACTCTTGTAAAGTATATATTTTTTTTCTGATGGATCTTTTATGACACTTTTCATGTTACTATGATTGAAGCTGAAGTCAGTGATTTTCCACTTGATGTTTTGGTTATCTGAAGGTTGTAGCTGACATAACTATTTCGGCCATTGCAGATGCTAAGAGGAGCATCCTTGATTTGTCTGGTATGAAACCATGTGCAAGCTGAAAAACTTTGGTTGTGTCTTTTTACCAACGATAAAATGTCTTCTGCTGTGACACAATCCCAGACCTCCACATATTTTGTCATTTTTCTTCATACTTGTCATTGGATGCTAGCTCTTTACCTACATTACACCAGCTTACTTACAGACAGATAGCGGCTGCACACTTTCAGAACCTTTGTCCACGTTTCTCCCAAACCTTCCCCCTCACTCCCGTGTACGCAGACCCCCTTCAAAAGCGGTGTCAACTCCACTCCTTTGCTTTCTCAATGACACTCAGGGCCCATGCACAAATGCCGGAACACCGACTGTAGCCGTGATCCAAAACCGCTGCTCTGCCAACTGTGAGCTCAACCACAGAGAACCTCCTTTAGAGTCTCACTGGTGTGGAGTGCGTTCTCATTCAAAGCGATCTGAAATCTGCTCCAGCCTCTCCGTGCTGCAAGCTTTGTGCCCGGCCTCCTCAGACAAGCTTCCCCATTGAGGAAATCCCCCTACAGCAGCTTTCATCAGCCGATAGCTAGGTGAATGGTGGAAATTAGGATTCCTGGGGAGACTTGGGTTGGGGAGCATAGAAACAAAGACAAAGTGGCCATGTCGGGAACTGCTTTTGCCTTTCATCCCGAGGGCTCCTGTCAGGCAGAGAGGCACATATAATACCTTTTAAGTAGCTGCCAGTGCGCTCCCATGCGATAAGCTCTGCTCCAATCACAATGGAGTTAGCAGTCACTCACTGTATAGGCCCAGCTTACACCAAAAACACAGATATAAGATGCACGGCTTCTAATTAGGCAAACAACAATCGGACATACTTACACCAAAAGAAGTCTTAGACCCTCTGATGGCTTTAGCATTCAGAATAGGGGAGATTAGCATTTGTTTGAACTGTTGAAATGCCATGGACGGACGGATATACTAAATCAAAGGAATGTATAAGTGAAAAGTGATGTAACAATTAGTTGGGATATCGACATGAGATGACTATTACAGGTAATCGTAATCTAACATTGGTAATAGTAATTGTTGATCTGACTTTAGAGACTATTTAGCACAATCAAAATAAATAACCCTGAGAGGAGATATGGTTCCTTGATTTGCAGGGCTCTTAATATGTACATGTTTTGTTGCTTCTTTCACAGTGCTAATGGTTTTTCCGATGTCTTTGGTGTTTGTTGTCATACAGGGTATGTAGGCACAGATAATCCAATGTGGTTTTTAACTGGCAAATGGCAAATACACAGAATCTGATTACACTGTATATAACAAAACCACTGCAATATTCTCTGTAAACAAATTTTTACCATAAAATGATGCTGGGACCCCAGAACCCGGCCTACACCATTTTTAATCAATCAATCACATTTGATTAAAGGCTTCAATCACCATTAGATGATAAGAGCAATCCCTGACAACATTAACAGCTTTGGCAGATGATACAAACACAACTTTTGCGCATGATACAGATCCACCCTTTCTCTCACAGTCTGCAAAGGCTAACGAATATTTTTACTATTGACCAATCGCTGACCATTGTGCAAATAAATAAAAGCGCCTAATTCCACTCCAGTGGTAAGCACAGGGCACACATACAGTAGTTTGCACACTCCCTAATGCAAAGCACTCCCAAACCTGTATAAACACCATCAACAACGGTGTCAAAATGCGATCCCCTTTTGAATGCTAATGAACCGGCGGTGTTATGGGTGTCACAAATCTGTCCGGTTACGATAACAGTACAACTCCTGTTTACCCAAACCCTCTGCACGGGCCTCATTTACGTGCTAATGTGGGGAGGCCGATAAAGAAGCAAGCGGCGATCACATGGCCTGTCGAAGAGCCACCCTTTGAACTGCGCCGAGAGGAGAAAATTATGTAGACGCACCCGGCTTAGCATCATTCAAAAAGCACTCACTCCATTCAGGGCAGACTCATTGTGACATAAGGAGGAATCTGCTGGCATTCAGGTTTGGAATATGCCAGGGTTCACTCTGAAGATGTTTAAGGGAAATACAGTGTGTTGGTTTGAGTGGCAGGAAGCAAGAGGTTGGTGAAGACGTTACGTATTGTGATGGAAAGCAAGGAAAAACGCTTGTCGGAAAGCAAGGAAAACAGTCTGCAACAGGCATGTGCAAAACTAAGGCCCACACCATAACAGGACAGCTAATAACAGCATGTCACAGTATAAGCAGCAGATTAAATGTGTTCATGTGTGCCAAAATGCCTGAATAACACTTATACAATAGCTCTGGTTCTATAGATCTCTAAATCTAAACAGGGCAGGGCCTGGTTAATACAGTGATGGGAGACCTCTGGTACAGGTGACAGTGGGGCGGCTGCGCTTTAGGCAGGACACTTCACCCACATGAGGCTGGTGTGTGGGTGAATGATCGGTGGTGGTCGGGAGATCTATGAACAACACATGGCCATAAACCGTTTAATTTGGGGATAATGAAAACAGTGACACTTTAAATACAACATCGAACTAGAGCAGAGCACAAAGGTTATGTGAATAAATATCTTAAAAGTCCATTGTGTTGAATATGTCTCGTCTAAATTCAAGTTTCTAAGCTGTTTTCTAAATGACCCACTGAGGTTTACATGCTGGATGATTTTAAAAAGCAAAGATTACAAGGTACAAGGGACCCTTTTGCACCTTATTAAACCGCTGAGACTAAAATATTGTTGTTAGACGTTAAAATGCTCTGTTATATCTATTGTTTATTTGATTGACACAGTACACATTCATCTACTCGTGTCCATGTAAATATGCCAGATTGAGCCTTGAAGTCGAGTTTCCATCTGTTCACTGATGTGGTTTCTTACTCAGAAATAGCTCGTCTCATGCCTCATTGTGGTAACACTGAAGACAATACATGGTGTGATTTCACAAACACGCAAAGAATTACTATTTAAATTCCATTAGTCACAAGCGTGTGTTTTGATGCACTTGAGGTAATTTTAGTGTCACTATTGTTTACTGCTGGCTGGGTGAATAACCTTACATGTGCCGCACTTGGCAAAGAATGTCCGTTCTGGCCCTGTGTGAGATTGCAAATGAACTGGTCCTCACGTATTGTTTACATGAGGGTTCAAAGTCATTGGGGTTTTGTTTGTGGGTTTTATATTTCTGTAATATGCCCCATGTTGTTAATTGCTATGGCAACAATAATCATTTCAAACAGTTCTGCACTCTGAAAAGTAGTGTCGGATTGACTTGATAAAGTTAAGTAACAATTATGAACTTTTCCCACTTTGTCATTTTGGATTGAATTGAGTTGCTCTGGGGGCGACAGTGGCTCAGTTTGTCCTTCTCCACCGACTCCCACTGATATCTGCTGTTGTTGTGTCGTTGGGCAAGACACTTAACCTCACTTTGCCTGAGGCCCCTGCTGGAAGATCAAGCCGTTCTCCTGTGGACTCACCACCTGCAGGAGGGTCAGTGAGGGGCTGGTGCTGTCATGTGAATTGGGTACAGCTCTGACTGCCACCCCCCGACCCAGACATGGATTAAGGGGAAGAAAATAGATGGATGGTTATTGTTGCACTTCATTTACTTTAACAATTAAATCCAACACTTCATTTTTTAGAGGGAAAACTCATTGTAAGACAAATGTAGTTGCACTTCTATCGAAAGCTACTTTTAGCTACTTTTAGAAGGATCTTGTTTGTATGGATGCATGTTTTTCTGCTGCTACTGGACACCTGAATTTATCCTGCGAGGATCAATAAAGTATCTATCTATCTGGAATGAAATCTAATAATCTGTTTGCCTAACTCTGCCATGCTTAACTTACCTGTTAGCTTCCATGACTCATTTGCCGATCTTTAGTCTGACAATAAACAAGCATTCTATAGCTACAAAAACACTGATGAGTCCAAACAATTAGTCCATAAACTCAGCCCAACTCTACCACAGTAAAGATACATACATTGACCGCATTGCTATAGAGGCCACAGGGTTCAAAGAAAGTGAAAAAGTAGTGCCTTAAAGTCCCAAAATTACAGTATTTAAAACGAGGAAAGGGAAAAAACAGTGAACGAAGATGAGTCATTGCAGTTGTTTGACCCTGATGTGTTTGGAGTCGTTCTGAGGGAACACTGCTCCAGCTGTTACTCAGGAAGTCACTGCACAGAACACGTCACGATTAGGCAATACTGAGTCACTGCACTAATTAACTCACTCTTAAATGTTCCCAAGGGCCCTCTACAACATCCCCCCCTCCCATTTCCACCCCAAGAACTGGTTTCAGATGATGTCACTGCATCCGATTGGCCAATCTAATGGAGAGGCTGTTAAGTTGATATTAGAATCAGTTGCTTTAAAGAACACATATCATGGAGTGTTTAGGAAGTATTCTGTCGAAACATGTCTCGGTAACATACACGTCTGGTATAGAAGAACCAAATACCTTTAATTAAATTATGGATTTTTTGAAGCTGAGATACCTAACTTGTTTTAAGGCTGTTCTTTATTCGTCCCTTGCGCACATTAAAGCAGAATTAAAGTAGTAAATAAAACGACACGGTTTGCACTTGTGAAATAATTTTAGCTTAGACATGAGACAAAAAGATATCAGGAGGTTGCATTGTTCAATTGCCATTTATTAGCAGATTTAAGCATGATCCCAGACAGCTCCAAAGTCTGGTCCATGGGCGCTCCTGCAGAAGTCTAGCAAGAGTCTACAACTCTGCTGAAGTCTCTACAACTCTGCCAAAGTCTCTTCAACTCTGCCAAAGTCTCTACAACTCTGCTTAAGTCTCTACAACTCTGCCTAAGTTTCTACAACTCTGCTTAAGTCTCTACAACTCTGCTTAAGTCTCTACAACTCTGCCTAAGTTTCTACAACTCTGCCTAAGTCTCTACAACTCTGCTTAAGTCTCTACAACTCTGCTTAAGTCTCTACAACTCTGCCTAAGTTTCTACAACTCTGCCTAAGTCTCTACAACTCTGCTTAAGTCTCTACAACTCTGCCTAAGTCTCTACAACTCTGCCTAAGTCTCTACAACTCTGCTTAAGTCTCTACAACTCTGCCTAAGTCTCTACAACTCTGCCTAAGTCTCTACAACTCTGCCAAAGTCTCTACAGCTCTGCCAAAGTCTCTACAACTCTGCCAAAGTCTCTACAACTCTGCCTAAGTCTCTACAACTCTGCCAAAGTCTCTACAGCTCTGCCAAAGTCTCTACAACTCTGCCAAAGTCTCTACAACTCTACCAAAGTCTCTACAACTCTGCTTAAGTCTCTACAACTCTGCTTAAGTCTCTACAACTCTGCCAAAGTCTCTACAACTCTGCCAAAGTCTCTACAACTCTACCAAAGTCTCTACAACTCTGCTTAAGTCTCTACGACTCTGCTTAAGTCTCTACAACTCTGCTTAAGTCTCTACAACTCTGCCTAAGTCTCTACAACTCTGCCAAAGTCTCTACAACTCTGCCAAAGTCTCTACAGCTCTGCCAAAGTCTCTACAACTCTGCTTAAGTCTCTAC